TATTGTGTCAAAAGTATCTAATTTCATTCATGACCTCTCGTAATGAATAAAGTAGTGCCCGACCACCTGCAAGTAATGACCAAGACCACAAACCTGTGCGTAGAAGTGTCACTGTTAACAAACAAGTTACTTTGCGTGAAATAACAGCAAGCATAAATGCGAGACGTGAAATGGACGTGTCTATTAGGACAGTGTTGTGAAATTTGACTGTAATGGTATACGGCAGCAGAAGACCGAGTCGAGTGCTTTTACTAACAGCATGACATCACGTCCAGCATATCTCCTTGGCTCATGACCATATTGTTGAACTCTAAATAACAGGAAAACTATATCTAGGTCAGATCTCCATAAGTCTAGATCTCCATAATGGTGTGAACTGTTTCTCCATGGCATGGACTAGAGTTCTATTGTACGATTGCATAGATAATTGACTATAACTGGATACGTTCAGCTACTTGGAGCTTTTCGTGGACTTCATGTAGCAAAACAACAATGGAATTTCAGTGGATGACAAAGCTTCATGTCACCAGTCCTTAGTTGTTCCTGATTGGTTTGAAGAAAATTCCAGCGAATGATTTTGCTACCTAGATCACACGACATGAATTCCATCGAACATTTATGGGATATAATGGAGAAATCAGTTCGTACACGAAATCGTGCACTCGCAAACACAATTCACAATTATGGATATCTATTGAGGCTGCATAGCTGAATATTTTTGTAAGAGACTTTCAACTACTTGCTGAGCCCATGACACGTCCAAGTTGCTGTATTTCGTAGAAAAGAAGGTCTGTCACAATATGAAGAGGTATCACATGGTTTTTGTCATCTCAGTGTATAATAATTATGCATCTCTCGAACAAAATTGTCTTTTTTTGAAATTATCGACAAATTAAGCAAAAATATGAATGGGTCGCAACAAATGTTCAGAACTAACACTCTCCAATAAGGGAGCCAGGCTGGTCTTTCTTTTACATTTTAGAAGAGCGCGCTTTAAAAACTTTTTTCCAATATAAATTTAAAGGATTTGTTATGAGTTTTCTGATTAAATCCCTCACAATTACTACTTTTCTTATCAATATTGCCAATATTTTTTCTCATCTCTTTTTTCAGCCAAATTATAATCAACATTAATGCAAGCTTTTCGTAAGAGCATAATATACAATACTTAAAAGTTAAATTTGCCCCTAGAATAGTGACTTTTTTCAGTGACTACAATAACTTTTCCTTGATGCTTTTATCTTTTTTTTTTCTTCGTCGTAACTCTTTCTTCCCCACATAGTTTCTAGCGATGTTCATTGAACTAATTTTATCAGTTTATTACTTTCAGTTGGCGCAGCACAGTGGCATTCAGACCTTGCTCTTTTAATCCAATGCTAATTTACAGCCTCTATCTCAGGCAAGCTGACAGTAAAAAAAAATGTTTCAAATTATTTACAATCTTCAAAAATAGTAACTTAAACTTTAAATTAATACAAAGCAGTGGTTCCCAATTTTTTTTCCTGGTTACAGAATCCTTAATGAATGAACTGCTTTGACAGAATCCCAATTTTATAAATTAAATTCACTAGCTGCTTTTTATATACAAACCAACAAAAAAAGGACTACGATTTAACTTAAAAGAAATTTTTTCATTATTTTATTAAAAACAGTTTTAAAATAGATTTATATGTTAGGTAGCTGAATTCGCAGATCTGTAGAGGTTTCTCGTTTAGTAGCTTTTGTCTCTTGCATGCGTTGAATTAAAATAAAATAAGCCGAATTACGGTTCTTGAAAAAGAACTGTTACAAACTGTGAGAATGGATAACTGTGAAAAAAATTATTTTTTCTTGAAATTGGTTATTTTATTTTGAATTGTGAAGTTTGATGATAAATACTGATGCAATTATTTGTAAATGCATATTCTTTTCGTAGTTGCTTTTAGTTTTCTTATTTTCTTATAACAATATACCGTTATTGGAAAGTATATGTATATATTCATTTAAATTTTGTTATTTCCTTTTTTATAGGCATTTTGCTTAAATAATTTCATAAAATTGACCAAAATATGCAATAAATAATATATTATTTCTTAGATAAAAACATAATTACTGTCTTTCGAAAATTGGGATTGGTTAAAAAAAAAATCCCAAATCTTAGAACCTCGGTGAGCTTACTGTGGAACTGGTGTGTACTTACTTTAGGGTTCCACGGAATACCATTTAAAATCTGCTGATTTAGAGTATCTGATGACTAAAAAGTATGATTTGAAAAATATGCGAAATATTATCACTCAAAACAAGCAAAATATAATTTAGATAAATATGCCATTTTGCCTTAAAATGCCCAGTAATTAAAGAGTAACAAAACACTTCCAATAAATTGAAATCATATTTTCTTCATATTTTTAACAGGCATTTCATTTTGAAAATGAAATTATAAGTAAACACAAGATTAGCTGTTTAATTAAACACGTCTGGATTACAAAGGTAGTATTTTTCTTTCAATTTTTAATTCCCGTTCAATTCGTAATTAAACTTTATATTAATTCCAATTTTAAGCAATAATTTTAGGTAAGTGTTGCAAGTTTCTTAACTATTCATTAATTGAGTACATATTAATCAGAGAATATTCTTGTTGTACTCGAACGAATATTTTTCTTGAAGGAAATTCTTAGAGAATAATTAAAAGTAAATGTAATCGCATTATAATGTTGAGCGTAAACACTTTTATTTCTGATAACATCGCTTATTTCTTAATTGGAAGTAAGTAATCCTTTTCACTGTTATAAACTAAAACAAAATAAAGTAAAATAAATTTTAGAGAGAAACTTGTAATTAATGTAGAAAATTATTTCAAAGGAACTCTGGAAACTGCTTTTTCTCCTGTTAACAAAATTTAAAAAGTATATGTTTAAACATAATACAAACATAATTTCGATTTTTTTTTATAAATAGACTATTAGTTTGCCTGTTTCTTCAAATTTCGCTAATAATATCTATGGTCTTAATTTTATCTTCATCTTTTTTTTAATTTTTACTAAACATTGACATGTTAAACAAATAATGTAAATTTACATTGAAAAATATTTACAATTTTTCCAGTTTATTCATAATTCGTTTTCTGCAAATGTATTTTTTATTATTATTTCTGTATGATTGTTTCTTCACTTAATAAAAAGGAAAAATTATGTATTCCAATCAAAAAATGTTGCTCATATATCCGAAACATAAATATGGAACCAATTACACGCATCACCGGAAGCAGTTGAATGTTGTACAAAAATTAATTTAAGTTCTTTAATAGCTTTTGATCCACTGATAGGATTTTCATGAATAGACTTTTTTAAGCACTTCAGAATAAAGGGATCACCAAAATTTAGTAAACATGGTCAAAATAATTTATTCAAATGAGCCGTAAAAAGTTTTGGCCACTTTCATTCATTAAGTCTATTTAAGCAAATCGGTAAAACTTTTCTATCAAAAAATTATTTCCTTCAAACATATTTTTAATCAACTATTTATTATATCAAGTATTATTGGTTATTTAGATTAATTAATGGTAAAAAATTATATTGTAATGCATTAGATATTATTTAACGTTTATGAATTATTTAATTATTTAAAAACAAAATCAGGGAAATGAAGATTCTGATTTACAATTTTTTGAAAATCTGTAATTCTAGGTATAACCAATTTCTCTCAAAGTTTGGATTTAATTATTTAAATGTTTACTGTTTGAAAAGATTTTAACAAAATGGTATACTTCACAGTTAAAAATAATTTAATAACTTTAACAAAGATTACTGTGAAAATTTTTTTACCTGCTTTTATGCAGAGAATAGAAAGCTTTCTTAACTACAGCTTTGGCATAAACCACTACAATCAACAGCAATTTCGATGGAATACTTATTACTTAAATTAAGCCACGAATACTTAAATTAAGCCACGTGGGAATAGATTTATTATTAAATGGAAATTAAGCTGAAACCATACAATCAATATAAAAGTGGTAACTTATCAAAAATTTTCAGAAATTACATGCATTTTTTAAGAATACATCAAAATGTATGTTTATCGAAATTTGCTTCCATTTCATTTTTTTATGTTTATCGAAATTTGCTTTTGCTTCATTTTTTTATGCGTGTAGTTTACTACACGCATAAAAAAATCTACTAGTTCCAAGATTTTAAATTTTGTTTGATAGAATATGCGTATTATATATTTTATTAAACTAGTTGTAATTTAATTGTTCTGAATTTAATAGCCGTAACTCTGAATTACAAAAAATTATTTAACAAAATTATCCCTTTGCATAGTAGAGTGAGTTAATACACTGAGAAAAATACGGTAAAAACTACCAGTATATGGTAAAATCTACCGTGTTTCTCTAACCAAAAAACACTAAAAAGATCTATAATTTTGACCAAACCAATTTGGTAATGATTTTGATAAAACTAAAAATCAAATGTGGCTTTATATTTCTGAAAGAAATTGGTAAATGTGGTAAAATTTGGCATGATATTTGACCAAAAACCTCTGTATTTTTGACCAACGCTTTGGTGATGGTTTTTGTAAAATTAAAAATAAAATATGGTTTTATATACGTGATAGAATTTGGTCAATGCAGTAAAATTTGGCATGATATTTAAGGCATGATACTTTACTGCATGGCATAAAAACTATTTATTCGGTTAAGTTTATTTTTCAGTTTTGTATTCTGTACTAAATGTTTAGTAATAAAAACTATACTATAGAAATCCAGTTTTTCCGGTAAACTGTTACCATATGGCCAGAAAAAATATCAAATGAATGATTTAAATTCCGTATATTTTGGTTTTATTAACCAGAATTATGGGGGGGGGTATAAGTTATGTCATTACCTAAGTTACAGTAGATTACCATATTTTTTTTCTCTGTGTGAAATAATATATATGAGTTAATGATTTAATACGCTTATTACGTGTTTTGCAATTATTAAAAAAGCATGAATAGTGATTTCATTCTTTTAATTATTATAGTTTGTCTTTGTCTATTCATTGGTTGAGCATGAGACGCTGAAATATGGCGATTACGACTTTCCAGACTGGGCTGATGGAGTGGGTTGGCTCTTGGCTGCAATTTCCATGCTTCAAATACCCTTTTGGGCTGCAGTTGCAATTTGGAATCAAAATGGAAGTACTTTTAAAGAGGTATTGTATGAATAAATGTCCCTTCATCATTTATATCAAAATGCAAAAGATAATTTTTTTTTTCCAATTACTGATGTGACGAACTTCCTATGTTTGACTAGACACGAGTCTAGACAAATCAATTATCGTCTGCAGAATATAATATCAAACGATTTTTTAAAAAAAAAAAATTAGAATTTCTGCCATTTAAATTTCTTGACAGATAAACTTTCATATTAATTTCGAAAAAGTGATGTCTGAAAATATTATGTCATAAACTCAAAATTCATAAGTGCTTTTGAGTAATATTTTTCTTACTATTTCATAATAAAAATTGAATGAAAGGACAATTTTTAAATCGCAAGAAAATATTTTTGTTGTTAGCAAATGAGTATACAAAGAATTTATAAATATTGTTTTTAGAAATTCACTTTTTTTATTAGCACTTTGTTGACCGGCAACTCTACACCAAAAATATGTCATATCACCGGCTATTATTTTGTAATTAAGTATGGAAGTAAAGTAAAACATTCAAAATATTGATTTCATACCCAAACGTTGTTGACTGATGACGAGACGAGTTAACTCGTCTCGTCATCAGTCTCGAGACCAGTCATGGAGTAAAGTAGTCGCCGGTCAACACTGTGTTAAGGAAAATGCTTTTAGTAAAATACCATTTCTGAAATTGAATATTTATAATATTAAAATACCCTATTTCATTTTATTTTGATTGGTGAACAAGATGATTGGTAAAATTTCGAGAATTTCTGTAAGAAACCTTCTCAGAATATTATTATACAGAAATCTAGAAAATAGGCAAAACTTCCCTTTTTATTTTTACTGAAAATAAGTTATCCCATTTTTTGCTTCAGTCACTTAAGTGAAAATTGCTTGAATGGATAAAGCGTTCGCCTTCCAATGAGGTGAACCGGGGTGCGACCCCGGCGATGGCTGGTCGATACGAATTCCGCATCCGGCTTGAACCGACCACAGTGCCGACGTGAAATATCCTCAGTGGCAGACGGATCATGGGTTAGAGTCCCCTTGCCGTCAGGCTAACCGTGAGAGGTTCTCGTGATCTTCCCTTCCATGTAACGCAAATGCGGGTTAGTTCCATCAAAAAGTCCTCCACGAAGGCAAATTTCTCCCAATACTTGATCCAGGAGTTCCCTTGTCTTATAGATTGAGTTCAAAATTACAAGGCTACGGAGCTGAACATTAGTATTCGTAAATTGGATAAAAGCACATGCAGGCCATAAGGGCAACGAAGAGGCTGATAGGTTAGCCAAATTAGCCTGTGAGAGAACAACGGTCGACCTGTTTGAAGATCCTAGCAAGCGGACTGCAAGAAAAACTTTGGAACGCGAAAAATTGATTGAATGGCAGGAGAGATGGAGTGACAGCTTCACAAAGGGAAGGCACACATTCGAGCTCCTCCCGAAAGTTCAAACGAGGAAAATCATGGGGAATTTCTTTTTAAATCAATTCCTAACTAATCACGGCTGTCATGGACAACATCAAGCCAGGTTTTTTGGGGGAGCTCAGCTGTGCAGTACCTGTCAGCTTGTTGAGGATTGGGAACATATTTTAATCCAGTGTACAAATTTTAAGCACATTAGAGAGAAATTTTTTCATTCAAAAACCACCTACGAGTTTATAAAGCAGCATTGGTCAAACCCTAAAATAAAAAAGGGAATTGAGGAAATAATAAGAAAATTGTTTAGTAACAAGGCACCTCCCTGAATCCTGATGGCCTTTTGCTGCCTCTTGTTAGGAAAAATACACCTAAATCACGGCTTATTAACTTACCTGTTATGGTTTGATTATTACTTGAATTTTCTCTTAAAATGTTTTTTTTTTGGAGCTTTAGTCTCATGCTTTGTCAATCTCTGCCCTTATGTGATTCCTCATTTTGAAAATTTTAATCACTTGTGTTCCTAGAGTTTTTATATATGGTATATATATGTCCTTTCTGTTTAAAAAAAAAAAAAAATAATAATTACTGGAATTTGATAACTTTAGTACTGTTGTGCCAGCCATAATTATATTCTGAGTTACAAACATCCTTTATTTTCCATGTGAAATTGTTTCCTTTTATTAACTTTGCACCCCTACTGAAGATGCGACATCAATATCTCTTCTGATTGTTACTGTTTATTTTCTTTGTAATGTTTGTTTCCTTAGTTTATTTCTAAGTAGCACCGTTTTCTGGATTTCATATTTAATATTCCACCTATTTGTTAAAACTCTAATTTGAAAATTTTGAATATGTTTGCTCATGTAATTGAACTGTTTCGCTGACTTCGAACTTTCGGAGTGCCCCGGATGCCCCCTTACGGGGGCGGGACGGGCTTAAGCTTGTTATTAGTATTCGTAAACCCAAAACGATAGGTTCTGGTACGCTCCAAGCACCGCAGCAGTTGTTGAGCATTGACGAAATCTAAGAGAGTCATGGTCTTGTATGGAATTTGCGCAAGTGGCAAACACTTATCATATTGTGCAACTCTTTGCATCAATTTAAAGAATGAAATTTTAAATCGTATAAAAGCAAAATTTGAGCTAAATCCGTTGAATAGATTCTGAGAAATTTAATTTTAAATCTGCAACTGTTTTAAGATTTGATTTCACAGAAACTATTCGGCCAATTTCGCTCAAATTTTGGATGCTATGTAAAATTAAATACTTTAAATTGATGCAAAAAACTGCATAACTTACCATTCAACATTTTTTTCACTATATTTAAATAAAATAATAAAATATAATAAATATTTTCTTACATTTATGTTTTGCATGGAATTATCTTTGCATAAAAAAGTTTTATAATTGAGTGCAAAAGTTTTTTATTTCACTTAGAAAGTTCTGGAGATATGGTGAAATACGCAAAAATTAAAAATAACAATAAGGATACCATTCTTTGGATTGCTATCCTGACCAAATTATGGGGACCATATTTCCCAGACCTACTTTTAGATGTCAGAAATATGAATCCATCGAAAAAAAATTCTATTTATACAGAGAAAGTATGTCTGATTTTGTAACTTAAAATATCGTCTGCCCTAATTAGTAAGCATATTTGAGGTTACTCCCTCAAGCCAATAAGTTGGAGTCCTGGTACGTAAAGATCCGATTATTAGATTAAAAAATATTCAAGAGGGTCTTTTTTTTGTGTATGTCCAAAGAATACATAATAAAAGACTATACCCGATAAAAATAATTAAATATTGATACACAAAATAATACATTATAGTTTGGAATGGAAAATGATTACGCAAATTTACAATAAACTGTGCTTCATTAATTATAAAATGTAAGATTTAAAATAGTACTAGGAAATAAAAGCTTTCAAAAACTGCGGTTCACGTTAAACTAAAAAACAACTAAAATTAACTTAAAATCGTAAAACATTCCACGTTACACAAACTATATTTATTTGTAACATTTCATCAGTAATAAATTTACATAAAATATTTTATCATTCTTCTAAGTTAGTACCAAACCACAAACACAATATACGAAGAAATTCATACTCTTTGAATATTCATGAAGATAGGGTGCTAAGTCTCGCGGTTTTTCCCTAGATTTACCTCAACCTCCTAATGAAAGTCAATAAATGAAGATATCTTACCGAATTTCACATGGGAGGAAACTAATCTTGGAAAGATCTAGTTTTCTTTAATACTTCTGTAGGTTTTATGTTTCGCTTTTCTATTTCTTGGATTCGGAATATTTTATCTCTAGGTCGTTTGTATACCTATTCAAGCCAGATACATATGCAATATTTATAAACTGATTGAATAAAACTTGACGCCGTCTTTGGGAAGATATTTGAGAAAGTTTGTGAAAAATAATTCGAAATCAAAATTGCACATACATTCGAAATGAATTATAGAAAATAAACTTATTTTATTTTATTTTATAACCGTCGTTGAACAGCCGACCCATTTTTTTTTTGGAGGGGGGGGGGGATATGACTAACTAATTTTCAACTCCGTGGCCTTGTAATTTTGAACCCAATCCAGAAGACAAGGGAAGTCCTGGATCAAGTATTAGGAGAAATTTTCCTTCGTAGAGGACTTTTGGATGGAACTAATCCGCATTTCCTTTACATTGAGATAAAAACCGCGAAAACCTACCACAGTTGAATTGACGACAAGGAGACTCTAACCAGTGATACGTCTAACACTGAGGATATTTTACTTTTACGCCCCATCCAATGATAAATCATGACTTGCATAAGTTTATTGTTGTTGTTGTTGCTTATCCTCTTCTGGCCTGACGAAGTCAGACCAGATCTATGAGCCCATTGACCTGAAGAAAATCAGATACCAAAAGAGGAGTAGGGTAAATGTCTTCCCTGAGAAGACCAAGACAGTTCAGGATGTGATCGGCGGAAGCCCGGTGTAGATGGCATTTAGGGCAGATGGGGTGGATTTTAGTTCCCTCGGAAAAATAGAAAACCTTTAAGATGGCCGGTAGCTAGGCGGGAGATGGTGGTGAAGACTCTCCTTTCAAAGGGAAGGGTCAAAGAAGCTTCAGGCTTATTTCCCTGGTACCAATAGTGGGTGGGGGGAATCAACCAGTCTCTGAGAAGCTGGGATTTCTTCAGGAGGTAAGATCAGAAGAGGTAGGGTGCGGTAGCTAGGCTGTCCGCTAAATCATTACCATAGAGACCGACGTGAGAAGGAACAATACCCACTGCAAGTGAATATTATGTTGGAGGGACAAGAGTTTTAGGTTGTTTACGATGGAAATACTGGTTTTGTCGCCAATTTGGGTCCGGTTGTTGAGATGTTGCAGGGAGCTGCGGCTATCAGAGAATATCCAAAGGTCTTTAAAATAAAGGTCATTTTGCATAACAAATTCCAGACCCCTGTTGATAGCCAGAAATTCACTTCTGAAAACGGAGCAGAAGTCTGGGTCACGCTGGCAGAGAGAGAATTTTTCATCAGGAGTCTCGATGTAGACTCCGCTACCAGCATGACTATCGATTTTGCTGGCGTCAGTGAAAATTTTTGCGTCTT